ATTCAAAATTTATAAAAAAATATATAAATTTAATATAAAAAATTTTATAAAATTAATTAAAAATTTTATATTTGATAAAATTTAATCTATACCTTAGGGTTAAAAAACCCTAAAAATTAAAGTAAAATGTAGTAGTTAGCTATGTAAGAAATGAGAGGAATACTGTAATGTAGGACAAACACCTTTAATCTAACCACTATTTAATAAAGTTCAGATTCCGAAACACCACTTAGTTTATTAAACGCAGAATCACTCAAAAGCAATACAAGTGACATGAACGTATCGAAAAAATAATCTAAAGCCTTTGTCTTATATGAACGCGTGGTCATAGTTGTTCACCCTTCACGCAAAGTGACGGCTATCTCTTTCACTTTTCCTTTTTAAAAAATAGAAAGGAAAGAGTTGGGTAATTTGTGTGGAAGAATTATGTGTTATAATTTTGAATTTATATTAAATTATAAAATATAAGTTATTAGATAAAAAAATGATTCTTAATATTAGGGAGCTTAATCCATCTAATAATAGTTAGTGTACTATAGTTAGATATAGTTGAAATTACATTATACTTTTTTGTTTGTATTGTATTAGATTATATAATACTTATTACAAGAGGTACTTTCTATTTAATAGGTTTTAGTTTATAATTTAATACAATTTGAAAGATAAAATAAAAAATTTAAATAAAAAGTATTATATATTTTTTATTGTACTTAATCATATAATTTAAACTATGGAATAAGGTTGGATCACCAATTATTAAAAAATGATTTCTTTATCTAATAATTTTTATAATACTTATTACACTTAAGGACTCTTTAAAGAAATTTATTTTTTGATTCATCATGTATTGAAAATGATAATATTATGGGTCAAGCAAAAAAATTAGGGTTTTTTCTCTCATGCTCTGCTTAGAATTGAGGGTGGCAGCTACAAGTTTCTCCCAAGGGTTTATCTCCAACAAGGAGTTTCTTCCTTCTCTACTATCTTCTTCCCTTCCCTTCCTCCCCTTGATTTCTTCCTTCCTCTTAGTCAACTGTCTTGCTTTGGAAACTTTAGCCCAAGGGACCATAAGGCAGCAACATCTTTCGATCTACATCTATTGTCGATTTTTGAAGGTTGTGATTGAATATCGTGGGACATGATCTCACTGATGGGTTTGGTTTTCTCTTATTCACTAGATTAGAATCTCGCTTTGACATACCTTCAATTTCGGATGGGATCTTGGCGGGGGTTGCATTTGGAGAACTTGGTGCACTCCAATTTCCAACAAGGCAGCAACATCCTTCGATCTACATCAAAGAACCTAGAGCACTCTAATTTTCGATCCAGTAATCAAATACAGAAGGA